ACCAATTAGATTTTATTTTGAGTACCATCATCACAAACTCATCCTCATTTTTTATTTTTTAATATGAGTCCATAACCTTTTAGGAAGAAAATAAAGGATTCATAAAGTTTAGTAAATTCAATTCAAGTCCAAAAAAAAGGGTATGCATACCATTAGTCACGGGCTTGTCCCCTCAGCTTGGATTCCAGGCTTCTGTTTTAGCTCGGCGTTAATTGAAATTTAAAGCCCATCAATGTGATATGAGTTGGGTTCTTGAACCGCAACCAACGGGCCTTAAGAGGAAGTCCAAACAGCCTTTCTCAGATCTCCCTTTTCCATTATCATATCGTCATTTAATTGAGGGGAGAATCCATCACTCACTTCGTCATGCGTTCGATGCCTAGTGAGAGCTGTAATGAGTCATCCACCCTGTGACTTCCCCAAGGATAATGATTTTTTCCAGAGAAAAATAATTATATTTATTTCATTTTAGTATCGTTGAATTTTCAAGCAAATTGTGATATAAATTGTTAAACAAATTTTGTTATTATTATTATTTATGCCAACCAGTAAGAAGATAAATTACCATTATAAAAGGTCCATATTTTCTTTTACTTTTTTCGATGAAAGTATGAAACCAGAAAGAGTTCGTTCTCTCCTCTTTCGTAAGACACAAGGAAAAGGAAATTTTTGAATATGAGAATTGGCCATTATTAACTGTCATAAGATGCTAGGGTGAAAAAAAAAATAAAAATGTCAAACAAGCCGAACCAATCCCAACCAATCTCTTGTGAGTTGTGACTTCATGCTTGATTAAGTAAATTAACACAAGCTCAAATTCATACTCGAGCCCAATGCAAACCTTATTTCCTTGCTGATGCTTGGCATGACTAAACATATCATTGGAGCTTGACGACACTAAACATATTTTGAAAACCAGTGATGTGCGCAAGGCTTCACATTGAAAAACATGTAACCTGTTATACAGGTGAAACAGCTACATGTCAAATAGCTTCCTACTACGTCCTCAATATTTCCAACACAACGCTAGCATCCAGACATCAATCTAAAGAAATCACTCCTAACCATCTAGCATATCTATATGGTACACAGCATGACACAGATGAGTAGTCTAAAACATCTGACTTCATGGTCGACTGAACTTAGCTGCAAAGAGAAAATAAGGGGTTATACTCAAAGCCGAAGACAAAATTTGATTGATAACAAGTAAAAAGTACTGCAGTTTTAACTTTTAAACTTTGCGATGTTAAGTAGTTTAACTTTCTTTGCCGATCAGAAAATAAAGTAACAGAAGTTGTAAACATTTCTCTTTTTACTTTCAATGAAGGAGAAGATTTTTTTTTTTTTTTGGTCGGGATGTCAATATCAAGAAAACCATTACTATAATATAATTATCAATGAAAAGAAAAGTAGGATTCAAACCTTAATCAGCATTGTGAGATTGATCATGCTCGATAAAATTCAATGCATCTTCCATGCGGACAACATTGACACGGCTCACCCTGTTCTTATGTGTCACCCCATAAATCTTATCAGCAACTTTCACAAGCTCTGGCCGAAATGTTGTGGTTATGAATTGAGTATTCGCCATGTCTGCCAGTCGACGAATCATATCTTGAAAACAAATTATTAAGGATGTACTACTAGAAGTTCAATTCATTCCTAGGTCTAGTTATGTTAATTGTAAAAATTAAAATAATAAACCAACTAAAAGGGCCAATGAGGCACAAACCTTTTACACAAGAAACAAACAAAGTTTAGCACTAAGCTTCAAAGAGCAAAAAATATAAAAATAGGATACTTCCAACAGCAGTTCTGTACTGAGGATCAAGTGCTGCATCTATTTCATCAAAAAGATAGAAGGGAGCAGGATCACATCGCTGTATGGCAAATATTAATGTGAGGGCAACAACAGTTTTCTGGCCTCCAGACAGCTGTTTCATGGACTGTGTCTCTCCTTGTCCAGTAAAAGAAACCTAAAGCACAAATAAGAAAGTTTAGAAATTATACAATTTAACTTATGAATGGAATTTAATGTACTCAGAGATAAAAACATTAGATCTTCTTCAATATAAAAATAATCTTTGGATGCCCCTGCCTCTTATTCCAGTATTTCCAATTCTTCCACTAAATCACAAGTAGGAAAACAAAGTATTTTCTGACTTAACCTTCCACCTCCAACATGAAATGAGACTAAATAGTTACTGATTTCAATTTCATATTTGGATGAACTAAGCTTAGAACCGCACAAAATCATTTAGCCACCTCACTTCTTAAAAATAAAATATAAAGCACTGCCAAAAGAATACATGCCTTCACTTTTACTCCAATGTATTTTTCAACCCTTCCCTCTGCATCTGCTTCACGAGGTCCATCATCGTCTTGGTCATCATCACCAGGCTCACCATCCTGTTGAACCAAGAAAGTTGTGAAAAATAAAACCAATACGACCATCAACAGAGGACGCATAATGGACTATTAGGATTTGCACAAAAAGTTTAAGCTTACCAGGTAATAAAAAATTGTGTATCAACCCATTACATTTAATAACTAACCAGCCCCCTTGCATGCAAACCTTACAGACATTTTATCCTAGCATAAGGAATAAGCTACCATGCCAAAATGAAATGAGTGGGAAAAAAACTTATTGCCAACCACAAATTGGGGCCCCAACACTCAACACATGACCTCAGCTTTTAGATCATATCATATAACCATTTGCACCAAGCTTAAGCTGTCAGGTAGTGTGTGTGTGCATGTTAATTGAGATGTTGCATAAACTAATACATGCAATGAATACATGCAATGAAAAGGAAAAACGAATTATTTTTGCATGCAAAATAGTTAGAAAAATCACATTTTCAATCAGCTTTTTCTGTCTGCATACAAACGATAATTTTCTTTCCAGATGATACTTCTAGAAGAGTGGGATTACAACAACCCTCATGTTACTTTGTTCTATTCTTCTATTAGAGAGAATCCTTACGAAAAGTATATTGTTTCCAGAGAGCTAAAACCAAATAAGGGGTTTAAGAGATTTCAAAACATGTTAAAAGTATAGACAAAAATAAATAAAAAGAGGCATTAGGACACCTTTTTCTTCATCATAACCAAATGACCATGGCCACCTTGCACAAGTTCAGAGAATACTTCTCGAAAGTGCCGAGCAACACCTTTGAATGTGCGTTCTATAGACTCATCCTTCCGCTGATCTAAAACCGTTATGAGTTCTCTAATTTTCTACAAAAAGGCATCAAGCTAAAGCTAAGCAAATTTCAATTTAAGAGATCTTCTTTGTGGAGAGGGGACAATACAGTGTAGCAATACCTCGTCACCTGCATCCAGTTCAGCTTGCCTTTTCTGTAGTTCTTCTCTCTGCTCTGTGAAATTTACATACTGGTCAAGTGCTTTCTTGTTTACATGGCTGAACTGTTGAAGCTGTTCATTACACCTGTGCAGCATTTTCTGCAATTCTTTGATGCTCTTCCTCTTATACCTACATTCTCAACAAGAAAGAAAATATTACTGGATGAAAATCAGAGTAAACACAGTAGAAACTTAACTTACTATATCTCCAGGATAAGCAGATACCTAATCAGATACCAAAAGAAATAAATAAAGACCAGCAAACCTTAAGATTTGTAATTGTATACCTTGAAAACTAAAGTAAATTAAAACAAAATGGTCAATGTATTTAACTTAATAAGGGCATAACAAAATCCCATAATTGCATCAACTAAGACCTAATCCAACATCTAAATAGAAACAGCTTTGACATGGTCCAGATGTCAGTACAATTTATCAGCTGAAATTTAGTGGAGAAAACAAGAGGTTCAAGCAGAAAGCATACGTGTCAAAAGCATCTGATGACAGTGGACCCAATTCCCTTATCTTCTTCGAGTACTCTTCCTGTTTAGCAAGAAGATTACTCCGACTGCTCAACAAGCGTTCTAAGTCCTTTGCACGATCCTGCAGTGACCTCTCATAGTCGTCTTCTGCAGTCTGCATCAATGTGTTCATGACCTTAGCAGCAGCAACAAACACTAGAAATGAAAGATAATGTTATAAGAAAACTACCTTTATGTTATTTTTCTCATCTTTGACCTCCTTAAGTTGCCTTTTTCGCTCATCTATTCCATCAGAAACTCCTGTATGGCGAAACCAATCAGAAAATAGAACTTAGAACTGCATATTGAAACTATAATTATGACTGAAGCTTTATTGAAGCATTTCAAGCTCTCACTTTTGAGCTGCTGCTTTGCATCTTCAACCAATGATTTAGCATCCTTCAACTCCTGCTTCTTCAGTTCAGCTTCACCAAGCAACGTGTCAGACTCTGCAGCATATATTATTGCTTCCAACTCTTGCTTCCGCCTCTTAAGGTTGGCTGTCAGATTAGTCTCTAGCTCTGCTTTTCTTGTTTCAGTCTATCAATAGAACATGTACATATATGAGGATAACTTAGTCCACACACATCACAGCACTCCCTTAGAAATTGAAGTAGATTCACTGACCTCAATGCGATCAGTCCTGCAATTGATAAGCTGCTCTTTAAGATTTTTAATTTCAGGGTTCAATCGCGACAGGTGGTTTCTTTCTTGTGGTGTTAAATGATCAACAAGCTCTGTGCCCATTTCAGCATGTTTGACATTTATACTAGCTTTAAGCTGGTGAATTTGCGTCTGAACATCTGCAAGAGATTTTTTCTACGAACAAGTGACAAGACAATGAATACACTGAACCAGGAAATAAACACAAATTGGAAAAACTATACGCTACCAACAACAGGCAACATAAGGCAAGTTAAAAATTTTAAAATACCTTATTTTCAAGAGCTTTGGAAATGAACTGTATCTGCTTTTTGGCATTAGCAATATCCTGCTTAAGCTGTTCCGATTCTGATTTATCATGAACTCGCTTGGCATCAAGTTTCTGCTGCTCAGAGACAAGTTCTGTGATTTTTTGGTCTGTCTGTGAGACCAATTAAGTTAAATCAAAGCATTGAAGAAGAAATGGGAAGACAGTTTCAGGAAAAGAGAACACTTGCATGACAGATTAAATAAATGCAGCTAAAAAAGATGACATGAAAACCAAAACAAAATAAAAAGGATATCTTGAAGCTTAATTCTGACAATTTCCAATTCCTTCTCCTTCAAGTTGATTGCCTTTTTATTTTGCATAATTACGTTCATGAACTTCAACTTTGAGCGCCTATAATCATAGAAACCCCCCGTCATACCACCTTTCTTGCTCACTTGATCACCTGTTGTAGGAATACCATAGGAATTGTTAATTATTGTCACATCAGAGATGCGAGCTGTAGTCTTCCAGGAGCAAATGACAGAAAAAAAAAGCATGCCAACCTTCCAAAGTTATGCAATCCAGACCATCAGTCCTGGCAACTCTTGTAGCAACATCTATATCTCGGCAAATCACAGTTCTTCCAAATACCTGAGGAAAAGAGAAATAAGAAATATTAGACATGAGGCATGAATGTTTGCACCAGTCTACGAAAAGCCTGACTACTTTTATGAGAAATAAGAGATTCCTCCCAACCTACTAATCCTTTAACAAGGTTTACTTCCCAAACAATTGTATCCCCCAGCATAACCTATCCAGTTTTGAAAATAAAAACCCATTCACTTTAAGAAAGCTCTAGGTTTTTTATTATTATTATTATCTTTTTAACATAGATTAGTATTCCAATATTTTATGAGGTTAGTGTGTATCAATCCCAACTCCCCAAAAAAATTGGAGTCCCAACCTACATTTAGAAACTAAAATCCCAATTTAAAATTTAAAAATCCAATCAATTTCCAAATCTAAATATCAATATTTAATAAGATAAATTTTTAAATTCTAAACTAAGTTTTAATTAAATAAAACGACTTAGTTTAAGGTTAGGACTCCAATTTTTTTTAGGAGTCGGGACTCATGCATTTTTCCCATATTTTATACTAGCCAAAATACTTCAGATGTTCCCTAAGGGATGTCAAATGGTTTGAGCATGAGGCTTCCAAATTGGAGGTCTCAAGTTCTAATCTTGGGATGGGCACAGCAAGTTTAGCATAGGGAAGAGCTACCCAACCCTCCCCCCCTCCTGCACAAACACAATTATATAGCAAACTTGTAATGTGACATAACAAAAGTTTACTTTCACAATGCATGATAGATATGAGGGTCAAAACTGCAAAAATTGCCTAAGGAAGATACAATTATTAAAGACTCAGCAGGAAGATATATAACTTCATAGTCCTATAGAGAATTGATACCATAATAAATAATTTGCCTGGTCATGGTAGGTGCTAATCAAAGAGATTGCTAAGAAGAAGACACAGAAAATCCTAATGAGTTACAAATTAGAATCATAGTTCATGCTCATGCATGCAACTATAGAGATGTCTCAAACAAAAAGAATCAGGAAAAAAATAACCTGCCCAAATGCTGGAGTGAACTCCTGAGAGAACTTCAATTTTTTTAACAAAGGTATCACGTCAGAACTCTGTGGATAGTTAACATGTGGAGCCTTCACCCGATTCAGAGGAATAAAAGTAACTCGCCCACCCTTTAATGAGTTAAGATGTTTAATTATCTGGGTTGAGATCTCATCACTTTCAACAACAACGTGAAATAAGCTGCTCAAAAGTCAGATAACAAGCAAAATTATGTCAAGCCTTGAATATACATAAAATCCAACGGCTGGCAAAACAGCAAGACACTTTACAATTAAACATCACAGGTAATACCTGTTTCCAGCAGTTACTTCAACAGCAGTAAAAAACTTCTCATCACAGTCAAGCAATTCAATAATTGGACCAAACACGCCATTGACCTTGTATTCTTTGCAGATCCGCCGAACAGAATTCAGCCCTCTTCTTACATCCTGATAAGCAACGGAGGAAAAGCAAGATCACGGATATAAGACAGACTTCATTTAAAAAGTACTGAAATCTCTGCCAAAAGATCTACTTTTGCACCAAGTCATCAAAATTAAGGAAGTACAAACAAAAGCATAAAAAAACAGCCCTCAGAAAACCATCTAAGCTTGTCCCAAACTAACATAAGTTTCAAGACATCTGTGAACCTTCTAGAGCAGAAAGAAACATGCAACATTTTTTAAGAGTGATTTTGTGGACAAAATTGCTTCTGACAACAAAAAGACATACAAAGAGAAAATACTCACTCCAGGAGTTGCATGATCAAGGCTCTTCTCTGCCTTGTCAACTTCAGCTTTAAGCTTATCAATTTCAGCAGAAAGTTCATTTTCTTTGCCCCATAGGGACCTACACATGAATGCAAATGAACCTTATTGATTGATACTGCACATTTTGAAAAAAAAAAAGAGGACAAAAAGTTAAGAGAGTTGAAGAGCCCGTACTTCCTTTCATCCTGTAACCTGTCCCTCTGTGTTCTATGATAATTGAACCCTTCACGTGACCTGGAGATCAGGGATTCTAAACTTTCAATTTCAGTTCTTCGGCTCTCAATGTAGCTGTTCCGCTCCTCTAAGTCAGCATTGAGCTGATTAATTTCATCCAGAAGTTTTTTCTCCTAAGATGTACAGAAAGAATGAAAGTCAACCATCACTAACACTTACAAGCAAGCAACATAAAAACTAAAGCAGAATACCAACTCAAAATAAGAACAATTTATTTTTAATTTGTGCCCTCACACCATTCTTTTGTTTTGAACATGACATGAATTCTTCACCTCACCCTATTGAACCATGCCCAAGTCCAACACTCTTTGACTTCCTAAATCCATATGAGCATAAAGTGGAATATCTCAGATAATTTTAAGTACTCATGTACAAATCATGCCACGCTTTTTTTTTTTTATGGAGGTGTGATACACATAGATATTTAATATTATTAAAAATTGGGGGAAATGCGAATCCCAATGGAAATAGGGATAAGAGGATTCCCTAACTGTACTAGCAGGAACAAAGAAGAAGATTTTTTGTGAACTTCTACCAGAGATTAATTTTTTTCTCTTTATTTTCTTGTTGTTGATACAAATGAATGTACCTATGTATGTGTACCATGTGCCATTTGCACTGGCAGGAACAGGAAGTTTTCTCCTTTTCTTTTTCCCTTTTTTCTTTCTTT